TTTTTTTTTTTTTTGAAAACAGACAAGCCAAAACCAAGCACCGCCCAACTGGCACTACCAACAGTCACCCACCAGCCCTAGCATTTACTGGTCCATTGCTGCTCAGTGCACTGTGGTTGTTGTCGTACCAATTTTAAATCTATTAGTGTCTTTCTACTGCATAGACAGCCCAGTTTTATGAAAAGGCCATATTTCCAGCTGTAAAATTCCTCTTTTAAAGCACAATGCACACATCAGATTAAACTGTACATGACAGCTTCACACACTACTTCGTATTTTTGCATTTAACATTGGCACTAGATGTAAATTGTGAGGTGCCGAAAACACGTATGCACTTCTTGGGGACAGTGAGCTGCATCAAACACAACTTAAAATAGGCATATGCGCCATGTGAGCACAATATAGATGAAAATAATTAATGAACTAGATCCTGACACAGGGCCCCTCTGTGAGATGGGGCCTAACCCTGACTCCTAGAAATTACGTTTATATACTGACCGCATTTACAAAACATTTACTGAAAAATGGAATTCAGCTCTCTGCTTTGTACGCCCTGTGACATTTGTGTGATACAGGATCATATAGTACCGCCTTCACTCAAAAGAACATTGCCACTGAACATAATCCATACAGCAGCTATGTTTAACTCAACAACATATTTGGCAAAACAAATTAGAAGTAAAGAAATGATAGAGAGATATAGATATAGATAGAGAGATATAGATATAAAATGATGCTGGACTTGCCTTAGTTAGACATTCCCAACAAATCTACAATAAATCAGATTTCCAGAGCTAATTGACTTCTTGTGCAGCTCTTGTGCAGTTGCCTGCTTTGCTGGTTGGTAATCTGACCTTGCTCGTAGCCATCATAGCCATTATTTATCTCTCTTGGCTGGCTCTATCGGTTATAATTGACATGAATGATGGGTAATGTAAATATTTGCTGGTGTTGGTGGAAGTACATATTGTAATTTTTTTTGTTTAATTAAAGAACATTTGTTTTTTTTTTAACATGACATGATGCGGATCCGAAAGCTGGAGTCAAATGTAAGTTCATATTTATTTTGATTATTTTGAATTCCCTGGAATTAAAATCCCTGGAAACTGTGCTATCATGGCAGTATTGTGACATATTGGTATGGCTACTCTGCGTCCATGACGCACTTTGGTGACATTTTCTTTCACCAAAGGTTGCTCACTTTCACCAAAGGTCATTTGATTTTCAGAGCTGCACACTAAGTTTTCCCAAGTACCCTGCACATTGAGGCCCGCCCTTAATTGCACACTGCAGTGAGCGGCTTCTCAGTTTTTCTAAAACAGGCTGCTTTTTGTTATGTACTGTGTGATCCACTACCCTGTGTCTAGCAGGATATAAAAATATCTGATTTAGAATCTGAAGTCGTTGTTGGAAACAGTTTGGAAAAGAGCAGGCACTTTTAAAAAACACTCAGCAGGTGATTGGATGAACCATCTGTCTATCACCATTTATCACAAGCGAACTTCAACCAATCGGATCAATGAACCATATAACGTAGTCAAACTCTTACCAAAGTCAGTTGGGGAAAGAGCAAAAACATATTTTCCATTAAGAAAAGCTTTCAGTGCTGTTCTTTGCTCTTCAAAGAAGAAATACTCTCCAATTCTGATATAACTGATGCTACTCTAACCTCTATGTGCACACCCTCTAGCTGCCAGTACTTCCTTGAGGGACGATGACTTATCTGGTTCTACTGTACCAGCCACAATCACATAGTGTGGCAAGATGGATTCTAGTGTGATCTAGAGTCCATAATTTGCAAGGTTAGAACTCATTAGCTTTTGCTGTAGCTTTCAAATGCAACTAATAGGAATCACCAGCAGATAGTTCCATGGACATCCCTGTATTAGTGAGGTGAAATGTTTATTTTATATGATTGATTGATTTTTGATTTTTCTTTCAGATTGCTGTGTAATATTTATGATGCATGTTGACGTTTGGTACTAAAAATGACCCCTTAAAAAATCAATCAATCTTAAATCGCATAACAAAGTCTTTTCTCTACATTAAACCTACCAGTTTCTGTAACTCTAATTGTAAATAAACATACAAAACATACTTAATTAATGCTTTACTAATACATGACTTATGATGATTTAATGCATAAATTAAATTACAGGCTGCTCACCATTAACAAATTATCAAGTGACTGTGACTTTTTCATTAGTTCACTCATTAAAGTTAATTCAGTTACTTTATAGGCCTACATTAACAGACATGCCATCAAATTAGCTGGATCCCACTTTCATCCCACAGGCCTTTGATCAGTCTCTGAAAACAGAACAAGACCTTTTCTCATAGGAATGTAAAGCATTTGTTTTTTAAAAACAGGTCGTTAGATTCAAACATCTACACAGTGCTGCATCTCCCAATGATCTTAATGTCACATTTATAAGTTAGGTTTAAAAAAAAAAATCAATTTCCCCATTGGTGAGTATCAAAGTAGATCTTATGCTTTGATATAGAGGACCAGTTTGTAGGATTGAGTGGCATCTAGTGGTGAAGTTGCAGACTGCAACAAACTGAACACTGCTTGCATCTGTATTTCATGACCTGGGA